TGAAGGGTTAATACCACGACAAATCCTAAATTGATATACACGTGATAAATTTATCCAAAATTCATTTTTTTTATTAACGAAAATCCCAAACTGGTACATCAGTGACAATTTTATCTTTCGTTAGTTTCCGTTAAATTTTACTGTAAAATTGCTTTGTTAAATGACACTGTACCAGTTTTGAGTTTTACCCTCCGCTTGTCATGGATGTACCAGTTTGTGATTTTTGTGATATCAATACAATTTAACGGAAACTAAAGTGGGGTAAATTTATCACGAATGCATTAATTTGTGATTTTTTGTGGTCAAAAAATTAATTTGGGGTAAATTTGTCACGTGTATACTAATTTAGGATTTTTCGTGATATTAATCCTGCTATGAAAGTTCGAAGGTAACGAACTCGATATCAATAAGGGAGGGAAGGAACGAGACCCGACGCATGATATGACGCACGATTAACCCGGTACAAGAACGAAATAATATGGGGATCGATTCAACGTTCAACCATTCATTCCAAAAATTCGAAAACTTGTTGCGATCTTGCCAGAACTTGGGACGTGGCCTTCGCGGAACCGGTCAGTGGAAAAGGGAAGTTTCACATGCTCGCGGAGGTGATAAAAATTTGCACGATAACTTTGTTGGTGGCATGTGATTTTCTGCTTTGAAGCCGCAGTACACGTCTTTAATGTGAGCAGATAGGGATGGGTACTCGCCCCCATTTATGGCACATACCTCAAATTTCACTTAATTTCAAACGGTGGGACCAAAATTCCAAGAGGAAAAAAATATTAATATGTCCGATTTTTTAGACCGACAACTTTTTAGATTAAACTTTGGGGAGAGGAGGGAGGACAGTCGTTGATGATGCTGTCATAATACAGCTAAAAGTTTAATAAACCTAGAAAGGAAGGGGGGGAGCATGTGATGTGACGGTCATTGAATTAAAGAAATTTGGTCTATTTGGGAAGAACCCAGAGCCGAGACCATCAATGCTTTTGATTGATGGTTAGCATTCCCACCAATTTTCAATGCATTTAATGAGCCTCCCCCCACCCCTTTATTGAAATTCACATGATTTATTTCGCATACCAAACAATCCATCTGATGTCGATATTTTCTTTAAAAACGAAAAAAATCAAACCGATACTGAACTCGAGATGCCACGAGCTTCCTCTTTCTAGAGGGGTTCTGTTAACGATTGCTCCAAGACACTAAATATTTCGTAAATTATGGTAACATGCTCTCTCGGGTAAATTTATGGGAATGTAGACCGAAACGTTGGGGGCTTTTACTCGTATCCATCCTTCCTTTCCTTCATAATTAGCTCGAGATGGGAATCATTGCATCCATAAGAAAAAGAACACGAACCTTTCTAGCTGCGTGCTCATGATATGATGCGAGGGGTGGCATCATGCAATGCTTTTGGATGAAGACAAGATACGTTTTATTATCATCACTCATGGTCGCTGGCCCCTTTTAAAGCTTGAGCCACACGAATTTCGAAACATTCCAAACGACCATCATTTTCTCGTAGTGGGAAAACCTCGAAAAAACATTAAGATAAAAAAAAAATCGTGCAAAGTCCGAGCTCTGTCTCTCTTTCGTTTTATGTCGGTGTTAATGACGTCATAATTATGTTCATTGGCGGCATCCCTTTTTAGAATAAGGATTAATATGACGAAAAATCTCAAACTGATGTGATAAACAATCCAAAATCCCGAATTGGTGCATTTATAACAAATTTACTCTTCGCTAATTTTCATTAAATTAGATTAATACCGCGGAAAACCAAACATCCGTCAATTACCGCGTGTCATCCAATTTAGCAATTTGACGATAAAATTTAACGGAAACTGACGGAAGTAAATTTGTCGCGGTTATACCAGTTTGAAATTTTTTATGATAAAAAAATTAGTTTATGGGTTCATCTTTACCTGATTGGGTTTGTTAGGGTTAGTTGATAGTGCTATTTTCGTACTGATTAGGCTATAATTATTTGATAAACTATTATTTCGTTCCGTGTGCTATTATTGAATGTTTGATTGGCAGTTGGCACAATGCGGCCAATAGAATGTAATGAGATGTTTTCTTATTTTGGGTTTCATTATTCTTATCTCTTATCGATAAAAATGAAATTAAAGGTTCCGCTTGTTTCGCGAAAAATGAATGATTAGAAATATATTTTCCTAAAAATGAACACTTGCATTTCTTATAAAAGTGAATAAACGAAAAATTTTTCATCGTCGACGAAAATTTTTGGACATAAATTGCTATCGATGATGAAAATATTTTTAATTAACTAATTATTTCAAGCGATTACTTTTTGAAAAATATTTTCCAAATCATTCATTTTTGTGCGAACCAAATGGTGCTCAAATAACACCCCCTGATCATCTCTTCGTTCCAATTTCACTCATTTGAATAAAGGAATTTTTCATACAATTACAAAAAAAAAGTTGGGATATGTGTACTAAAAGTCCTAAATTTTGTCACGAAAGTGCAATCAAGTCCTAAAACTTACTAAAAGTATAATCAAGTCCTTAAATTTATCAAATTGATGCAATCGAGTCCTTCTGGTTAACTAAATTCAACTTGACTAACGAAAAATGCTGACGCGACTTTTCTTAAAATATTTTCTCTCTCCTACGCAGCGATGACATGGCTAAAGCACGAAACACAAGACCAAAACAATGTTGTTATGATCTAAATTTGATTTTTAATAAAAAAATTTATTTAAATTAAATTAAAAATTAAAAAAAAAGGGAGAGTTGGACTAGGCGGCGAGGGCTATTGCCCCACCATCGCTCGGAAGGGCCAACGATGGTGGACAAATGGTTGGCGGGCAGGGCCGCTAGTGGCGGCTGACCCTCGCCACGTCATCGCCACGTAGAAGAGAGAACATATTAAAAAGGTCACATCGGCATTTTTCGTCAACTAAGCCTGGCGAAGTTAACGAAATGACCCGTCGCACTAATCCGATAAATTTTAAGATTTCACGACTTCCGGCGAACATATTATCCCAAAAGAGTTTTAAGAAAATCTACGAAAATGACTCCATGGTGACAAAGAACTCTTCGGAAAAAAGTTGTATGCGTGCACTAGGAGATTATAATATTTTGTTAATAGGAATTTTTTTTTAACAAGCATTCGAGGGCAATTGTGGGACAATAATGTTTGGATGGAGTTTAAAATGATACAATAACAAAAGCACATATATTAAAAATGTGAAGAGATGAGAAAGCGAAAGCTATAAAGGAAGAGAGAGAGAGAGAGAGAGAGAGAACACGAAAAGGCGGAAGTATGAAAAAGGCGAATTGCAGGAAAGAAGGGAAATTTTTGGGGGGTGCTCCGGTGCGGGAAAGGGAAGGGTAGAAAGGGAATTTCACGAGGGGGGGGGGGGGCGAAATATATACATAATATATATATAAAAAAAAAGGGGCGGTCAATCCTCGGTCGCGAGCGCCTCCGCTGCTAGAGAGAGAAAATCAAAGGGAGAGGGAGAGAGAGAGAGAGAGATTAGCGAAGGCGATGACTCTATCTCTCTCTCTCTCTCTCTCTCTCCTAAAAAGGTGTTTTTGAGTCTCTCCCTTATTCCATCGTCTCGTGGGTTTTGGCGGATAAAGACAAGGGGAGCAGCGAGAGAAGAGCAGGGAGAGATTAGGAAGAGGTAAAAAAAACAGAGACGGAAGCCAACCCCCTCCCTCCTTCCCTGCAAAGCGACAAAAAAAAAAAAAGGTTAATAAAAAGGGAAGGGAAGGGAAGGGAAGGAACGAACGAAGGTGGGAATTCGATGAGGGCAAAAACCATATAGTAAAAAGGAGGAGGAGGAGGAGATGATGATGATGATGGGTGCCCCCACCCTTCAGAAATCGTTGCAAGAGAGGGGAGATGGATGATGATGATGGGTAGTTGCAGGAATTTCTTCTTTTTACGCTCGCCTGCCCCCACTTTTCACGCAGATAGAGAGAGAGAGAGAGAGAGAAGGAAGGGGAAGGGGAAGGGGGTGGGTTGGGTTTGGTTTTGTGTGTGTGTTTTTTTTTTTTGTGTTCTTGGCTTATTCTTTTTTATCCCCTCCGCCTCGCTCAATTAATGCGACCAAAAGGGTTTCGACTAATTTTCCTCTCCGTCTCTCTCCTGTTCTGACCATTTTCTTCCCCCCCCCCCCCCCCCCCCGCATTATTGTTGTCTCGTATCTTGTCCTCCCATGTTTCTCTCTCTCTCTCTCTCTCCCTCTATTTACCGATTAAACCACGCAAAAGAGAGAGAGAGAGAGAGAGAGAGAGAGAGAGGGGGGGTTCTTGCGAAAGAGGAGGGGAGGGGGGGGGGATCTGATCTCTCCTTTTCGCGTTGAATTCTCAACACCTCGCTTTTCTTGTTGACGCCACTCTTCCGTGAGAGAGAGAGAGAGAGAGAGAGAGGGGGATCGAAGAAGATGGCAAAAGGGGATTTATAGCTGAGCCCTGACAGATCCCCTCCCTCTCACACACACACTATTACCGCTCTCGCCTTCCTCTTTATCTCCTCTCCCCCTTTTCTTTTTAATTGTCGGGGATTCCCGATTTTGCAATGCTCAGCTCCTCTCAGCTCAGCTCCCCAATCTCCTCTTTCTCTGTTTCCTGGGGCACCCCTACCCCTCCCCCTACCCCTCCCCCTTTCCTTTCTTGAAAACGAGCTCCTCCTGTCCATTTCCAAACCCCCCTCCCCTTCCCCTGTTCTCACTCGAATTAACATCGTTTCGCCTTTTGCCAAAAGCTCCTTTTCCTCCCAAGCTTTCCTCTCGGTATCTCTTCCGTAGTTCTTGATTCAAAACCCCAGTTCTCGTTCTCTCCATCCCACAAGCCCCCCCCGATTCTCCTCCTCCTCCCGTCGAATCGAAACTTGGGGTCGAAATCTCTCGTCTTTCTCTTTGCTGCGAGGGAGGCCCGAGGGAATAATAGGCGAAAGCCCGTGCGTTGTGTTGTGTGTGTGCGCTTTTTTGTTTTTTTTAATAATAATCTGCTCCTCTTTTCGCGATAAAATTTCTTGATTGCAAATGAGAGCCGGTCTAAGCACGATCCAGCAAACGCTAACGCCAGAGGCGGCGAACGTGCTGAGCCACTCCATAGCCGAGGCGGGTCGCCGGAACCACAGCCAGACGACGCCGCTCCATGTCGCTTCCACCCTCCTGGGCTCGCCCTCCGGGTTCCTCCGGCAGGCCTGCATCAAGTCGCACCCGAATTCGTCCCACCCGCTCCAGTGCCGCGCCCTCGAGCTCTGCTTCAGCGTCGCCCTCGAGCGGCTCCCGACCGCGCAAGGCGGCAGCCCGGGCCTCGAGCCGCCCATCTCGAACGCCCTCATGGCGGCCCTCAAGCGGGCGCAGGCCCACCAGCGCCGCGGCTGCCCCGAGCAGCAGCAGCAACCGCTGCTCGCCGTCAAGGTCGAGCTCGAGCAGCTTATCATATCGATTCTCGACGACCCGAGCGTGAGCCGGGTCATGCGGGAAGCTAGCTTCTCCAGCCCTGCGGTCAAGGCCACAATTGAGCAGTCCCTGAATTCGGCCGCCCCGGCTGCCGCCAACACCAATTCAGCCCCAATTGGATTGGGTTTCCGGTCGCCTGCCGTACCCCCCGCCGCCGCCGCCGCTCCACCGAGGAATTTGTACTTGAATCCGCGACTCCAGCAGCAGCAGCAGCAGCAGCAGCTTGGGAATTCGATCCAACAGAGAGGGGAGGAGGTCAAAAGGGTGGTTGATATCTTGTTGAGGCCCAAGAAGAGGAACCCAGTACTGGTCGGTGAGTCGGAGCCGGAGGCCGTGGTCAAAGAATTGCTGAAGAGGATTGAGAACAAAGGATTGGGCGATGGGCTGCTCAAGAATATTCAGGTTGTCCCGTTGGATAAGGAAATCGGGTCGGACGAGGCAAAGATACCCGCGAAATTTCGAGAATTGGGTGATGTCCTGGAGACCAAGATGGGGAACTCGGGAGGAGGTGGTGGTGTGGTTCTTGATTTAGGGGATTTGAAGTGGCTGGTGGAGCAGCCAGCGGCCGTTTACGGTTCGGGCACAGTTCAGCCGCAGCAGCAGCTTGTCTCCGATAAGGGGCGGATCATGGTGGCGGAGATGGCGAAGTTGCTGTCATGGTTTGAGAAGAAGAGTAGTTGTAGGTTGTGGTTGATTGGGACTGCTACCTGTGAGACATACTTGAGGTGTCAGGTTTACCATCCTTCGATGGAAACTGACTGGGATTTGCAAGCACTGCCTATTGCAGCCAGAGCACCTCATCCTGGATTATTCCCAAGGTATGATTAGTTTTGATCTTTGCATTTTGCACTTAATGTCTAGTTCCCAAGAATAAGTTTCTACTTATATATATATCAATAATCAGAAAAGTAACCTTGCTGCCGGGTCGGCCTGACTCGATTTCAATGGCGAGTGTTGTCTGAAGTAACTCTCCTAAATTCGATGCTTCTGGTCTCTTAAGAAAAAGTTTGATGCAAACTGAACTCTTGTTCTGTTTTCGAGCATTTTGTTAAACTGCAGATAATTAGACACCTGAAAGTTACCTGCCCTTGGAATCTAAATCTCCTCGATCCTGTATGTTGTTGTTGGGGAGTAAGCGAAGGGATTGTCTAGTTTGGATAAACCATTATGGTGATATGAGGATGATGAGCCGGTTTAATAGTCAAAAAGGAGTTTTAAGTGAAGGAATTATCTAGTTGTTGGAGATACGAGGATGAGTTGGAGATATTAAGCCCTTTTGGGATATATATACCGGATAGATGTGGATGCTTAAATGTCTTTCTTTGATTTCTAGGTTTGGAGCGAATGGAATTCTAGGCAGTTCGGTTGAATCTTTCTCGCCACTGAACAATCTTCCCACTACCATTTCTGCGCCTCCGAGACGTCTCTCTGATAATTTGGATCCTGCTCGAAGAATGGGCTGCTGCCCGGAGTGCACTCAGAAATGTGAACAAGAAATTGCAAGAGCCGCAGCCACAGAACTTGAGAAGCCCAGTCCTGAAGTTGAATCAGAATCAGGTCGATCGCCACTTCCGCAGTGGTTGCAAAGTGCAAAAGTCCATGAGAGTCGGAATAAGTTTCAGGTAATTTTGCATGTGAATTGGGATACGAATGTATTGCAAAGAGTGCAATGTGGAACTGTTTGCTTATAAATGTTCGATTTTGCTCCGTTTCATTTGCAGACCAAAGACCAAGGAATCCTACAAAAGCAGAGGAGCCAAGAGATACAAAAGAAATGGAAAGACATGTGTCTGCGTTCTCATCCTCAATTCCATCAACAAATTGTCGGCTCCGACAAGATTGGTTCTGTGCCTCGGTTGATCCCAGGATTGTGCAATCCTAACCCACTCTTGCGCCAGCCGTTCCAACCCAAATTACAACTTAACAGAAGCCTCGGGGAAGCCCTGCAGTTGAATTCCAGCATGCCTGCTAGCCAACCACCTGAGTCAGTGGCTAGCCCACCGAGAAGTCCCGTCAGGACAGACTTGGCTCTTGGGCCAGTCAAGGTTGCTGAAACCACCTTCGAGACATCCAATGGAGACCAACTGAGGGACTTTTTGGGCGTCATGTCCGCCGAACCCCAGAAGAAGATCGCTGAGGTGAACATTGAGAAGCTTCTGAGCAAATCAGATACTGACTCATACAAGAAGCTCCTTAAAGGTCTACTGGAGAAAGTTTGGTGGCAGCACGATGCCTCATCTGCCTTAGCCACTGCCATGACCCAGTGCAAGCTCGGTAACAGCAAACGGCGTGGGCCTGGATCTAAGGGTGACACGTGGTTACTATTTATTGGTCCCGATCGGGTCGGCAAGAGGAAGATGGCATCGGCTCTTTCGAACCAAGTCTGTGGCGCTAGTCCGACGGTGGTTTCTTTTGGATCGCGTCGCAGCGGCGGGGATTCCCCTACGAGTTTCCGAGGTAAGACGGTGCTGGATCGGATAGCTGAGGCAGTTAGGAGGAACCCATCCTTGGTAGTCTTGCTCGAGGACATTGATGAAGCAGATGTTCTAGTTCGTGGGAGCATCAAGCGAGCAATGGAGACGGGCAGGATTGCCGATTCTCATGGCCGTGAGATCAGTCTCGGGAATGTCACCATCATCCTCACTCTGCATTGGTCGCCGGATAATCAGAAGTTGTCGTCGGATGGTACCTCCCTGGGCGAAGAAAAGCTTTTTAGGTTGGCCAGAAGTGGTTGGCAGTTGAGGCTTTCCCTTTGCGAGAAGTCTGCCAAGCGCCGGGCTAGCTGGTTACGGGAGCAGGACAGGCTCACGAAGCCCAGGAAGGAGAGCAGTCTCGGAATGGGGTTTGACCTGAATGAAGCCGCAGATGTGGATGATGATCGGGCTGACGGGTCTCACAATTCGAGCGATCTCACGGTTGATCATGATGCCGACCACGGCCTCGACGATAGACGATCATCCACGGCTTCGCTAGTGTACAAGGAGCTGCTCAATCATGTCGACGACTCCATCATCTTCAGCCCTGTGGATTTCGATCCTGTCGTACAGGAAACCACAAACTCCATCAAAAAGACGTTCTCGACCATCGTCGGCGGCCGAGTCTCCATCGAAGTGCAAGAGGAGGCCATCCAGAAGATTCTAGGGGGTGTTTGGTTGGGCCAGACCGGATTGGAGGAGTGGACAGAAAATGTGCTGATCCCGTTCTTCCACCAGCTCCGGGCGCGGTTGCCTGCCACCGTCGGCATGACGCCTGATGAATCCGTGCTCATCAGGCTCGAGTCAGACGGCGAGTCCGATAGCCCGAGAGAGGGGGAGTGGCTGCCTAGTAGCATCAAGGTGGTGGTGGACGGGCTGTGATCGAGTGGCACGGTCGGTAATGTTCTCGTATGTTTTGGAGGGAGGATGTAAATAGGGTCGAAACCGTCTTGCGCCGCGGTGGGCGAGTCAAGACGGTTGACAGTTAAAGAGGGAAAAACAGTTAGTATGAGGTCGAGACATTGATTAATTAGATTAAGTCGAGCACCCTTTCTAAAGAAAAATGCCCTTCAATGTCTCACCTTTTTGTCTTATTTTATTAAAATCGCACAAGATACAATACAAGCTTTACCATAGATACGTCAATTTGATTAATTTTACGGACCATAATCAATAAGATGAGCATTCTTTTCCTCTTTTTAGCCCCTTTTGTTTGTTCATGTGGTATGGGCATGTAACACAACGCTCTCTCTTTTCTTCCCCTTGTATAATGTCATGATTACATTGACATCTATGGTCTGATCTGACTTACCAAGTTATGGGCATTATGGTTTTGTATGTTTGACCTTTTCTTTGGTTGGTGAAGACAAATTTGACTCTGAATGAGGCAGAGGCAGGCAGAGTGCGTTGGTACTCCAAATGAGTAAAGGATATTTCAACTGACGTTTCTTTTTGGCATGAAGACCTTTGAGTTAAGTCGATCTTGCCGTGTAGAAGACGGATGCGGCGGTTCTTGGAATGTCGTGATGAGTTCTTTAAACTAAAGCCCTTTTCCTTTTGCAATTTGTCTCTCTTTCCGGCAATTTCTCCTTTGTTGAGACTTAATTGAAGAGGCAAGCCACGTGGGTCGGTCCTCGTGAAACACTCTGATCAAGATGAACTGAATCGGCCGATCTTCGTGCGCACGATCTGCGAGAGCGATCCGCAAACTGGTTTGCATGTAAGAAGCAATCCGATCTTTGCTGTCCGCGCCCGCCCGCCCGCCAACGAGGAAGCTTTTCTTCCGTTTTGGGATCTTTATATTCTTCTCCTTTCGGTATACGCACACAGCATATATACTTTAGTTGGACAAACCTGTTGACAACTAGCAACATCTTGATTCTCCCTCTTTGAGGGGGAAATGGCATTACTATATTGATTCTTCTTGCGAATTGTTGGGGACCCTCGATTTTTCTGCAAGAACATGATAAGATAGCACACAGGGAGACACACAAAAAAAAAATAAAAAATGAGGGGTGCATCTTTTGGGCCACATGATTCTAACCGGTTCCTAATCGAGCTAATGGTGAGGGTATCGCCACGTAAGAGGGTCGGAATATAATAAGCCAAACCTTGGAAATTCGCACTTATAATAAGCCAAACCTTACCTTCTTTGCACGATGTCTATCCGACCCAATCTCACTTGCAATCGCAGCAAATGACGAGAGGGAGAGAGAGATGGTGTTATGATGAAAGTTAGGCACCGAATCACTTGCATAGTAAAGTTACAATGGGGCGGCCATTGGGAATTGAGGCAAAACGAGGGGTTTCTAACTTTCTATAATCATGTCTATACCGACAAAAGAGAAGTGAGATGCTATAATTAGGACTTGCTACTTAAGCGTGTGTGTGCCTAATAAACACTCCATCCCTTCACATTTTAGCAAGTACCTTCGTTCAAGAGATTTTTGTAGGTTTGGTCTATGAACATGGCATTCCCCGCCTTACACTTCATGCATACGCAAGGATTTTACTATAATATAATGGACAAAGCACATGAAGTTCACGCGCGTCCCTCGTGATAACATAATTGATTTCGGATGAGTCGGGAATATTAAAATTCAAATAAACACATAAAGTTACGGGACCGCGCTATATCAATCCTCGAGGTCTTTACAATAATCATGAATTAGAAGGCCACTGTTACGTTTTTTAAAGAGAAATCTCGAACGAAATAGAATCATACGAACCAAATCCTCAATCGGATAGCTCTCGGTAGTATACCAATTACGTTATTCTTGCCAAAATTTGCCATGAGTAGCAGTTCTGGAATTCTTCTACAGCTTTGCCTTAGTAGTCACTCGATTCAAAAACCATACCAAACACTCATCTCCTCAGCATTGAATCCCCAAGTCTCAGTCCGAGCTCTCAAGTGGGTTTGCGTCCAACACAACGCTTTCCCCACGTGACGTGTCGACAAGAAATGGGGCATTGACTCTCGCTACGGGGGACAAAAATGGTCGCTCTCGTTCATGTCATTTGGATCGCGAGCAATTAATTGATTTTGGGTCTCTGCATGTGTCTGCATTTATAGTTCTGCTCCCAGTCATCCGTCTCATCCACCCCTTGTCACTTCACTTTAAGTTGATGGTCCATTTGCAAATTGCATTCGCAATCGCAATCGCTCTGTGAGACTGAGCAGCTCTTCTTCTCCGCATCTTCTTTTCTATATGGGACAAAAGCCAATAAAAATTCAAGGGTGATGCATCCATGTGCATTGACTAAGCATTAAAACTTTTAATTCAAAAAATTATGCTATCGGGTGGTTGGCATAACCCTCAAGGTTATTCTATCGGTTAGTGTTAAAACGTCTAATCGAAAAATTTATGTTATTAAGTAAAAGGGAGACTATTGCTTGTGAAATAAAAGCCAGTGCCGCTTCAGAGTTGAAAATTTATGCCCCTCTGACGTGTAAAGCTCAGATGAAGGATGACTACTGGTTTATTTTCTCTAGCACATGAAGTCGCAGAGGAGAACATGTAGAATTACGTGCCAGTTATGAATTATCTTGTGCGTGGAATAGAAAGACCAGATCAAACAAACAAGAAGAGACAAGCGAGGACATAAAGGAAAGCACGATCCATCACAATACAATTGTGCCATCTGTGATTGGTGAGTAAGAACTTCTAATCAGTAGTCGGAGAATGCTTTATCTGATAATCAATCAAGATTGCAATTGTATACTATACCCTTATCTTTGAAGTATTAACATTCTAGAGAACACTTTTTGAGTATTTACGTAGATGACGCGTCCATAGATAATCTTTCAATTTCTCCTTTACGTGATCAACTACGATCTTGGAAGTAAAATAAGTTTCTTAACTCATCTGTTAAATCACCGGAAAGTAAGGTCTTGCGCATGCAAAACCATTCTGTCGTCCAACCTGGTTTTGTTCTCGAATCGATTTTGACCGAAACCCGTTTGGTAACGCAATTTCATTTTTCTATTTAGGAAGTTTTCCAAAATCGATTCGAAACCGAGAAATGAGAAAAAAAAAGTTGGTTTTTCATTTACGGAACAAAAGTGAGAACCATTTTTGAGGAATTCATTTTCTTCAACACACATATTCATATGGAAGTCACGATCTTTGAGGTGAGAAAAAAAGCAAAAATCAAAAATTTCAAAACTTAAGAATGGTTTAGAATCATGTACCCACTTTCAGTGAAATTTAAATTTTTTAGGTACCGAAAAAATAAATAAAAATAAAAAATTTCACAAAATGGCTTAGAAAACCTATGGCCACCCACTTTGAGCAAAATTTAATTTTTTAGTTGCAAAAAAAAATTCTAAAATTCTAAAATTTAAAACTTCACAGAATATCTTAGAATACTGTGGCCACCAATTTGAGCGAAATAAATTTTATTTTTAGGTCTAAAAAAAAAAAAAAAAGCAAAAATCAAAAATTTCAAAACTTCATGAATGGCTAGAATACTTGTGGACATCCACTTTGAGTGAAATTTAAATTTTTTAGGTGCAAAAAAAATAAAAAAATAAAAATTTCAAAACTTTACAGAATAGCTTAAAATACCCGCACCCACTTTGAATGAAATTTAAATTTTTTTATATGCCAAAAAAATAAAAATAAGCAAAAAGTAAAAATTTCAAAACTTTACAGAATGACTTAAAATACGTGGCCACCCACTTTAGCGAAATTTTATTTTTTTAGGTGCCGAAAAAAATAAAAAAATAAAAGAAAAAAATAAAAATTTCAAAACTTCACAAAATGGCTTAGAATATGCGCCATCCACTTTAAGCGAAATTTAAATTTTTAAGGTGCGAAAAAAATAAAAAATAAAAAATAAAAAACTTCACATAATTGCTTAGAATACTGTGGCCACCCACTTTGAGTGAAATTTAATTTTTTTAGGTGTCGAAAAAAATAAAAATAAGCAAAAAGAAAAATTTTCAAAACTTCAGAGTGGCTTAGAATACATGTGGCATCCACTTTGAGTGAAATTTAATTTTCTTTAGGAACCAAAAAAATAAAAATAAAATCAAAAATACCATTTGGGCATCTAAAAAAATTAAAATTTACTCAAAGTGGGTGGCTAGAGTATTGTAAGTCATTTCGTGAAGTTTTGAAATTTTGATTTTTATGTTTTTTTTCACCTAAAAAATTTAAATTTCACTCAAGGTGGATGGCCACATGTATTCTAAGTCATTCGAAGTTTTGAAATTTTTGATTTTTGCTTTTTTTCACCTCCAAAAATTAAAATTTCACTCAAAGTGGGTGCGTATTCTAAGCCATTCTGAAAGTTTTGAAATTTTGAGTTTTGAATTTTTTGGGCACCTTAAAAATTTAAATTTCACTCAAAGTGGTGGCCACATGTATTATAAACTATTCGTGAAGTTTTGAAATTTTGATTTTTTGATTTTTTTGGGCACCTAAAAAATTTAAATTTCACTAAAGTGGTGGCCACAGTATTCTAAGCATTCTGTGAAGTTTTGAAATTTTTGATTTCTTGATTTTTTGAAAAATTCAACAAATTTCCTATTTTCCGAAATCTAAATTTTTTTATTTTTCTCGACATTTTGATGATTTTTTCTGGAATTTTTCAATTTTTTGGGATTTTCTGAATTTTTAAAGATTTTTATGAATTTTTCGGATTTTTTATTATTTTTATTCCATTTCTAAAAAATGGATTTTTGTTCTGAAATAGAATTTTGTTGTTTATCAAACGGGTTTTTATTTCGGAAATAGAAATTCTTGTTATCAAACGGGTTTCTATTCAGAAATAGAAATTTTTGTGATTATCAAACGGTTTTTTTCTCGAAACTCATCCAGGAATAAATAAAATCTATTTTCGGTTGAGAACTCATTCGAACGAATGATTATCATTCGCTACCTAAGCGACCATCTTAGATCTTGACTTTTGAACATTTCTTCCTGTTGTTACTGTTACGTTTGTCTCAACAGATGCCATATTTTCAACAAACGATGATTAACTAGCTAGTAGTTAGCATCATATATGTCTACATACCATATGTCGAGCAATGATTCTTTTCTTGTGAGAGGCCTAGCGAGTATCTTTTCCTTCTAAGCTCTCCCTAGCTGACTATTAGTATAACAATCTTGTTCTTAGATCCTATCCCGCTTCCATAATTGAAGAAGCAATGACAACTTTGACAATATAGATGAAGATGATTAACCCTAGTCAAGTAAAACACTTTTCTCAGAAGATAATCTCGATTTTGGATATAAAAGAAGCAATGATGTTATAGTATATGATCATTTGCATAAAGTTTGGAAGGTGCCAATCCGATCAAACGCAGCTGTGCAAACAAGAACAGGCCAAACACGTA